GTATTTTATGCATGCAGGAGTTTTCATGAACAAGTTCCTTTAAGTATTATGAAAGTGTAGATTGATTGAATGAATTACAGATATTACAGGATATTTTCCACTGTATTCACGAACTGTTCTAAAGTGCTTATCCTTTAAGTTTCTATAGCATTGACCATCGATAAAACAAATATCTTATTGACAGCATTGTGAATAAATTTACTTGTTTGATTTTCAAACGTGTGTTACTGTGCAACAAGAATGGCTGCATGAGTAATAGATGAATTATCTTTTTGCTGTCCTAAAAACTCTTCTTTGGATGAAGTAGGGTATTTAGGATTATTTTTGACTTTGGCAGATTGCATCAGTTGAAAGCTAAGATGTAAAGTTCACAAGAACCCCATCTGCCTTACTTGGTTCAGTTTAAGAGCCAAGTTAACCAAGATGTTGTATTGCACATTTTGATTGTTCAGAGACAGAGAAAATCAGATGAAGTAACAGGGAGGACTGGAGAGGCTGATGGTTTGGGAGGCATTCCAGCTGCACAGCCTCCCCTCACCACACCCCTAGAAAGAAGACAAATTCCTCTACAACTGAGCATGACACTGCAGCTCATTGTGGGCTAGCTGGATGTGCTAACACGTTTGGTGTGCAAACATTTCTGAACAGGGAAGTATTTTAGAAACCAAGCGCCTTGGGGGTGGGGTGGGATGCACTCCTGTTAATGACCCCATCATGCTAACACACATTGAGGAGAATACCAGGGGTTGAAGAGGGACCCATGTCAGGGGGAAAGAAGCAAAAGAGTTTGGTCCAATGAAAAGTTTACACATATCAACCACGGATCAATATCCATTTTAAAACATCCTCCCTTCAACAAGACACGAGTCTTAGAAACGGGGGACACGGCTTTTGGGTACCCAGTTTAAGAATACACTGTTTGATATCTGTGTGTACATATCATATAAAGTTACTATGGCAATATAAGAACCGCAATCAGATTAATTAATTAATTAATTAACTATTATTACCGACCTTTGCTGTATATTCAAACTTTCACGATGCCACACAACGACAGCATCAAGGGGAAAAATTCCCTATTTTGTGCATACACTGTCCGAACAGAATGGGTTCGGAAACATCTAAACTCAATTAAAAGTACAAAACTTTGCATGCTGATCAACACAGTTTACGTGTTTCGAGCCTACGAGCGATGCGAGCGTGACAGAGATCCGCGAGAAAACAAAACATCACTTTCACATTCATTCCTCATATCCGTTATCCTTTTCCCTATTCCTGATTTTGCTAACGAGAAGTTACACCCGAGCTTGTCCGATCTTGTCCGAACGATTTCCGAATATCGTGTCGTACTGTTAAAATGGCCGCTTGGAGAGTACTTCAAGAACACTGGAAGAATCTTGAAGTGTTATGAGAGGCTTTTGCACACTGAAACAGAGGATAAAAATGTTCCGTCTGCAGAGGGTCGAGGGGAATTGCTATGATCCATCTCTACAACCAGAAAAAATTTTGCTAAAACCGACTGTCACTCGTCTCGGACGCAGTGATGAATATTCAGATGTTGTTATTGACAGTGTGATATCTCCTTTAATGATCAGTCGTGTTCACGCTGAAATTCATTTCAGCAATGGAAAATTCAGAATTGATTGTAAAGGACTGAACAGGCTGCTAGTCAACAAAACAAAGCGTAGCTCTGCTGTCCTATGCGATGGTGATGTTGTTGTCTTTGGAGGTGCTGGCGTTAAAACGAAAGAAGGACAGAGTTTGTTAGCTTACGATTCGGAGCTTGTGTATGTTTTTAATGAGGTCTGCCAGAATGATTCTGAAGAAGTGGGCTCCCTTGGGGAAGGAACAAGCGATGGAAGCGTGCGAAGGCGAAGCAAACGGAAAAAGCCCGCATCACTAAGTGAAGGAGTGAGGTATGGGTACATAACACTCAGAAGTAGGGGTAGTAATGATGGAGAGTAGGGTCACTTGACCTAGAAAAGGAGTGTAGGGTACTAGACAGAGAAATAAATACTCTGGAAAAAAATTTCAAGGGGGTGGTGTGGGTTGAGATCATAGAAATTACAACAACCTCTTGCCTCTTTTGCTTCCGTAGCAGATACTATTTTGTCTGTAACTCTTAAGTGGGATCAAGATCATAACCCAGTTTTTTATTATTTTGTGATTTTGCATGAAGACTATCATCTTTCTTCCAAGGGTCAAATACACATTTTCCCCAAAGGTGTAGGGGCATCTTCATATCTTAAGTTGGGGCGCCTGTTTCTTGAATTACTGTCCCAGTAACTTAACAAGCCCCAAACCATATTTTAAAGTCGATATTTAAAGCCAATAGAGAAGCAGATTCTGACACCCTAACCAGTTCATTTTTAATATTTTGTTGATAGTTGTATTGTGTAATTTCACAACTTTTGAAACCCTCATCTTGAATGAAAACAGACAGCTGTACAGGCCTCTTAAGTTACCAGGATCTTCCAGAAACAGGTTCCCACTCATTACACCTCCTTAACATAACCATTTTGTTGTATGTGTTCCTAAAATCAAGTTCTAGTCTGCTACAAATAAGACCAAGTGACTCAAGACCTAATCTGAACTTCCTATTGAATGCTGATAGGCCTGTCAAACTTCTAATATTTTTGTAATTTTCAGCTCTCCATGTGAAAAGAAGACTAAAGGCAGCATGGACGATAAGCAGGTAGATAAACTTGGGCTTCTGATGTAATGATTATCAAGTGGCAAATTACTATTTTTTTTATATCATTTTTAAAGAAAAGGCAAAGAGAAAACAAATTTACCTTATATTTTTACCACTGAAATTAAATTTATAGGGTTATGACCCTAAGGACAGGTTATTTTCAGAGATCTAACCCAAACCATGGTTTTACACATTCAGTGGATCCAAGGCTTTCTCTATAACAGGGTTGTTGATTTTATTAAATTGTCATCTCCATCTACTGTCAGCTTTTGGCCCTTTTGACAATGTTCACAAAAGCAAATGCTCAGATGAAAGTTCCAGCTAAATTTAAGATTATTTAGGATGAGGTCT